GGGGGGGAAGGAGCAGCCGCGGCGGTGCCAGGATAACCTGCACGGGTTAGTGGGATCAGCATGGATATTAGTTAAGGCTCCTCACTAACCATTCTCCCACGGGTGCTGGTGGGATTGGGTCCAGCCAGAGCTGAGCACGGAGCCCAGGCTGAGAACTGCACCGTGACCAGCAGAGCCCGAGGCTCTTCAAGAACAGGGATGAACCCCAGAGACCAAAACTGAGCAGCCAGGAAGGGCCACGTAATGGAGGATCCCACCTCATCCCCCCCAGCACAGGGCAGCACCTGGAGGAGGTCACAAAGCCCAAGGAGAAAGGTTTTGTCCAAAGTTGTGCCAGCAGATAAACCACAGGCCTGGGGACCCCCTTTTCCCTGCCCCTGAGACTGATCAAACACAACCTTGCACTGAGGGTCAGACAGGAGGGCAGAGCTGGGGTAAGCCAGATGCTGGGGAGCAGGGCTGTTCAGGACTTCCCCAGCTGCCTGGATCCCAAACCCTTTGTGCTGCTCTTCTGGGAGCTTATCATTATTTCACCCTCATCAGGGACTTCCTTCCCTCAGAGCCTTTGCAGATGCTTCCTGGGGGATACCTGCTCAAGGCTGAGCCCATCATGCTGCCCCCAGGGGTTTCTCCATCCCTTGAAGTGTCACAGACTCAGGTGAGCCCCACACTTGATGCTCAGGAGTGCAGTGTTGTCATCTCTCTCTCCCCAGAGCTGCAGCAGCCAGCCCACCCCCCCAGTAAGCCGTGCAGGGGGGACACCACACACAGGGGACAGTTTCTTTTCTCCATTAAAAAAATATAGAACTTCACCATCTCCAAACAGGTATCACAGCCATCAACACCACAACGTGCAGACTAAATACCAATCTGGCACAATATTCTTGGCCTGGGGCAGGAGGGACTGAAGCAGAAGGTTGGGATGAGGGGGGGAAGGAAGGAGATAGATGTTTCTTGTGGCCTCAGAGCCTCCCTGGAGGCTCAGTGGGTAGAGGACCCATCCACACCTCTCCACAGCCCCAGTGCAGGATCCACAGTAGTGCCACACAGCAGGAGCAGCACCAGGACATGCCTTCAACACCCACCTTGCCCCAGGGCAGCCCAGGGAGGAGTCAGGCAGGTGATTTAGGACTCCAGGCATGACCTAAATATCCAGAAACTCCATCAAGCATCCCAGATGCTGCCAGAGCAGTTCTGGAGGCCACCTGCTTGCTCTGCCACCTCACACAGGTGAAGTGGCAGAAGTTGACTTCTGGGAACAGACACTGGCCCCATCCAGTGTCATTCTGCACTCTCCCTCAAGTCCTCTGACCAAGTCTGGCCATTCCCAGCAGCAAAAGCAGAGATGAAAAAGCTAAAGCTGGGCAGAGGGAGCTGGGGCAGCTGCCCTCAGGGAGAGTGCAGTGCCCTGGCAGAGCTCCCCAGCAGGGAGCTGCCAGTAAAGGAGACCAGGATTTGGGACTTTTCAGCCTCCTTGGAGGCATCACATCAATAAGGAGGGGTCAGGAAAAAGAGCTGCTATCACAATTAGGTTCAGGGAACGGGCCAGGTGAAGCAGTGGAGGAGAGCAGGGAGAAAGCAGCAGGGAACAGTTGGCCCTGGGGAGCTGGGACACTCACCATCAGCTGCAGAGAGACCAGCTCCAGGATGGAAGAGGCTTGGTTTAAGGGTAACCTCAAGCTGGCAGTGCCCAAAGCAGGCTCTACCCATTGAGGGAGAACTACAGCCCATGGACTGCAGGCTGCCCAGGACACAGCTGGGAGCAGAGGCCAGTGGGTGGCAGGAGGGATGGAGCATGGCTTACAGCTGGGGCCAAGCAGGCACGGTGGGAGGGGGGAAATCAGAATAAAATGGGGTTGGAAACCATCACAAGGAGCAGAGATTTGCTGCAGCCAGTCCAGCAATGAGCCCCCTGGGCTCTATTTCTGCATGTCACACTGCAGGAGGAGAACGATGGAGGGGTCACTCTTTGCTGCCTCCTTGAACTCCTCCAGGGAGATCTGGTCATCCTTGTCCTTGTCCATCTTTGTAAAGATTTTGTCAACACGCTGCTGGGGTGTCAGCTCATCTTGGTTCATCCTCATCATGATCACAGTCCCCACCATCTTGTAAATAGCCTGGAGCAAGAGGAGAAATATCAAAGCTGGAATGTTGGATGGGCAGGTCACAGGACAAGGGAGGTCACAGGATCACTCCTGTGCTGGGACCCAGTGAGCTACTGGTATGAGCTATGCTGCTGTACAGCTACAACCAGGTGCACACCAGGTACCTTTCAGACCAGGCTCTGGGCAGGACAACTCATTCTTTGGTCTCAAAAGGGACCCAATTGCTGTGAAAAGCCTGGAAACAAAGCAAACTGCCCCTGCTGATTTTAAGCACTGGTACCTCAATGATCTCCAGCATCTCCAAGCGTGTGATCTTCCCATCTCCATCCAGGTCGTACATCTCAAAGGCCCAATTGAGTTTCTGCTCAAAGGTGCCCCTGGAGGTGACAGACAGGGCACAGATGAACTCCCTGAAGTCGATGGTCCCATCCCCATTCTTGTCGAAGGTGCGGAAGGCGTGTTGGGCAAACTTGGAGGCATCTCCATAGGGGAAGAACTGCAGGGGGGACAGAAGAGAGAGATCGAAATGGGGAGGGGGAGCTCGGTGTGGAGGCTGCACCTGAAGCAGCAGCCTTGCCCCAGCTGGAGCTCACCTTGATGTAGAGCTGCTGGAACTCCTCCAGGTTGAGAATGCCAGTGGGACAGTCCTTGAGGAAGCCCTTGTACCACTGCTTCAGCTCCTGCTCACTGAACTCTGTGCTCCTCACCAGGTCATCCAGCATCTCTGGGGCCAGTTTGCTGCTGTGCTTGCCCATGGCTGCCCCTGGAAGAGAGAACACAGAGCTCCTGCAGACCAGGCACAGGGAGGGATGGTGCTCCCAGGAGGCAAATCCCCACACTAGAGCTGGTCCACCTGGCTCATGGGTGCCTGTGCACTGTCAGAAGTCAGGACAGTGATGCAGCACTAGAGACAGGCTTGGTGCCCATGCTCAGTGTGGCCCTTGCTGCTGGAGAAGGGCAGGAGCTGGCTCTGGGCAGCCCACCAGCATCACCTCCAGCCCACCCCACCTCCTAGGCTGGCTCCCTCAGAGCTGCAGAAAAACACCCAAAAAGCCACCAAAGACCCAGAACTCCTGACATGGTCTTTACCAAGCCATGATGTCCAGCTGCCCCCACCAGGAGGGGAAAAAGAAGAGGTAACACAACTTGACCATTAAAGCAAGGGAAAAAAAAACAAACCTCACCAGCACCACCTGACCTGCAGCACCCAGCTGGCCATGCCCACGCTGCCCTGGGTGAGGAGGGGGGTGTCCCTGGCCGGGTCCCAGTGCTCTGGGCACTGGGAGGCTGGCAGTGCTGGGGCTGCGTGGGCAGGACCCGGAGCAGCTCCGACACTCGCCGTGCCCGCTCCCACGCAGCCTTGGCTGC